ATGGAAAGGCAGGATGAGAACAAGAAATTCAGTTGCAAGCAAGACAGAGTTAGCGAGTCAAAACTGTTTCAGTTCAATGGCCTGGGTCATAAGGGAATCCAACAGAAAGAGCTGAGGCAAAGAGATCTGAGACTGCAGCCAACCACATTCACCCAGAGCTCAACAACTGGGAAGGAGGCCTGTGCTACCAACGTCATTTGCATTGTCCCTTGGTTCTGCACCAGGCCATGGCTCAGAGGTTCTGTCTGAGGGAAAATGATGGCCTTGGAGTGTAGAGTTGCAAATTCTTGTCTGGAAGAAAATGCCATCAACAGCTGATGGAGAAATTCTAGACTAAGGGCCCATTTTAATAAGGGGACGTTATAATGAGAGGCAATTTAGGGATGATGAAGAGATTCATCATGAACTAAACTGTAGGTCAGCTGGTCTGCTGGAGAGAAGAAAAGGACAGCTGGGAGGAGCCCTCAGAGAGTCAAAATACATCAGAGGCTGAAGTGGGAAATTATCTCAATCCCAAATTAGAATTGATTAAACTGGAGGTAGTTTATGCTATGCCCAAGGCATTATTGAAAACAGGAGAAGAATCAGTTGTTAACAGTGTAATTAAACAGCTGGCGAAATCTTTAGGGATATAAAAAGACCCAAACCTCTGTCATTCCAAGGAGATTCACTGTCTACCTAGACAGTATTTGATGTACCCTACTCTGGGACAGCAAATAAATACCTTCAGCAAAATGAGCTTTTCAGTTACTAGATATGTCAGTTATAATATGTTCCAGATGGACAATATGATGAAGTATACCTATCTAAATTGCCCAGTTTTCTATAACAGTTATAAAAGTTGCAAAACAATAAAAAAGTTGTCACCTGACATGATCTATAAAGAAAATCCACAGAAACCCAATTAAAACTACTAGAAGTAACAAGTTCAGCAGAGCTGTGGAGTGATAACCAATATAGAAAATCTATTATTTTGTCTTTACTTACAGTGAATATAAAAATGCATAATAAACAATCTTATTTATAGTCCACTTAAAAAAAAACTGGGGCTTAGGATGTAGGTCAATTGGTAGTGTGCTTTCCTAGTCTCTCATAACTGGATTAGATGATCCATGCCTATGATCCTAGCACTCTGTTAATAAAAGTTGGATGATCAGGATTTAAACATCATCTTCTCCAGTCTAGTATGTTCCAGGCCAGTGTGGATTACATGAGACCCGGTCTTAAAACAACAATGAAAAACAAACAAACCCTTAGCAATAAATTGATAAAGGAAATGCCATACTATTTCTGGAACTGAAAAACATTGTTGGAAGACATTAAAGATTTAAATAAGTGGCAAACAGTACACGTTAATGGAAAAATGCTTGTATTATTAAAGTGGAAGCATTCCCAAAATTCTTCTGCGGGTTTCCTGCAACACCTACAAGAAAGCTTCCTCACTCTTATAAAAATATTTGAGATAATCCTTAAGTTCATAGGAAACTACAAGTGACAAGTAATAAAAAAGTAGAAAAATACCAAAATTTTGCCGGGTGGTGGTGGCGCATGCCTTTAATCCCAGCATTTGGGAGCAGAGGCAGGTGGATCTCTGTGAGTTCAAGACCAAGCCTGGTTTACCGAGCGAGTTCCAGGACAGGCTCCAAAACAATACAGAGAAACCCTGTCTCGAAAAAAAAAAAGAAAAATAACAAAATTTTAAGACTGCTATATGTTGATTTAAACCTTAAAACAAAGTAACCATACTCAAGATAATATGATAACATGTAGGCCACGTGAAGATACCTAATTATAGAATACTGTATTAAACTCAAGCATCTGTAGTTAGCTGTTACTTGACAAGAGTGTCTGGACAATTCGACAGGGACCTAATTTTTAAAAACTTGTATTGAAAACTGTATGTATCTACATACAAACAAAGAAATTGGAATTTCATATCTTAGAATTGTTCTCAAAATGGCAAAAGCCTTGAGTATGAGAAGTAAAAATATAAAAATATACAAGAAAGTACAAGTAGAATTTTGAAATGAGTTTGTAGCGATGATTCCAAGTGAACAAGGAACAAATTGCAAATAAAAGTTCATGAAAAATAAAAATTCCAGTGACTCAAATGACAGGAAGAGACAACTCACAGCATAGGAGACAATACTGACAATAACTGTCTGATGAGACATTTGTGTCTATGTGAAAAAATAACTCTTAAAAGTCACTAAGTGAAAAAATGAACAAGGTTATAATCATTCCTCTAAAGAAAAATGCACATTAGCAGACTTCATACGTTTAATGTCAGAACACAGCACACAACCTAATGTAAACAGAAGCCTTTTAAATTCATGATTCCACTCCTGATCACCATTTGTAATGAGCAGCCTTCCTGCCAGCCTGGTTCCAGAGCCGCCTCAGTCCCAAATAAACACACAGGAGGCTATACTAATTATGAAGCTGTTGGCCTTGCTTATTTCTTACTGGCTAGCTCTGACTTAAGTATTTACTCCATAATTTTTAATCTAAATATTTCTCTTACCGGAGAAGTTTCCGGGCTTCTTATCCCTATGGCGGTTACATCTTGATTCCCTGTGTTTCTCCTACGCAGAGTCCTCCTGGACTCCTAGTCCCACCTATCTTGCTTCCCTATTGGCCAACAGTACTTTATTGACATCTAAACAAGACTTCCCCAACAACCTAAGGGTAAGTAAAATCCATAGTGTGATAAACTTTCATTACAACTTGATTGTCTATAGCCAAAACTTCAGAAAATAACATGGTTCCTAAAAGTCAAGATAAACTGGATACTTCTCTAACACTTTGTAAGTGAAAACGGCATTAAAGGGCCCAACAGTTCCTCAAAGGGTTAACCACAGAATTACCTCAGAGCCAGCCACTTATAACCAAGAGAAATTAAAGCATACATTCATAATACTTGTACATAAATGCTTGCAGCAACTAAATTCATGTTAGCTAAAATGGAATAGGTGATATATTCAGTTGACAGACCATTATTCAGGTATAAAAATGAATAAACTTTCTGGTGTATGAGAAAACTTGAATTAACTTTTATTACATGATCAAAGCTTCAATAGAAGATTATGTCATGATTCCAAGTTACACAAGATCCCTCATATTTTTAAATCTACAAAGACGTAAAATAGTTAAGTATTTGCTTGGTGATGAGGCAAGGGAAAAGACAATATATAAGCTAAGGTATGATAAAGGGTGTGAAGTTTATTATTGCAGTAACTAATTATTCCAAAATTGAAAATGGGAATGGTTACCCATAACTAGGTATACTTATTACAATTAACAAGTACTGTGTAAGTGGGTATATTTCTGGCAGGTGAATTATATTTCAGTAAAGATGCTGTGTAAAACAATAAAGACTCCTTTCTATATTCATTTTCGACTGCTGTTTTGTTTTGAACAAGCTTTGACGATTTGATGTTAAAATAAATGCATTTTACTAACATGTTCTAGCTGACAATTGAATGTGTTTGAGCATGGTGTGATCAGCACAGTTATTTTTATATGCTTCTTATTTATCAGAATCTTCCCTATTTGGAGATACTTTTTTATATTCTAATAATTGATGTCAAAAAAGTAAATAAGAACGTGACTATGTTCCTAATATGAGGCTTCTGGATTTTTTATGTTTAATAATAACATAGATGAAAAATCTCTTATTAGAGGTTCTTTTACTAAGTGATATCAACAAGAGTATATCATCAAAATAAAGCATTGACATCTGAAAAATGTTTAAAAACAAATTGTCTTAGGGTTTCTGTCATTACAAAGACAGTATGACCACAGCAACTCTTATGAAGGAAAACATTTAATGGGTTGGCTTACAATTTCAGAGGTTTAGTCCATTATCATCATGGTGGGACATGGGTGTGCATAGGAAGACACCATGATAGAGAAGTAACTGAGAGTCCTACATCTCTCAGGCAACAGGAAGTGAACTAAAATACTGGGAGGCATCTTGAGCATAGGAGACCTCAAAGCCCGCCCCCACAGTGACACTTCCTCCAAGAAGGCCATACTTCCTAAGAGTGTCACTCCCTTTGTGGGCTACTTTCTTTCAAATCACCACATACCGCTTTCTGTCCTCCAGAGACTTGTAGCTGTATCATAGTACAAAAATGTTTTCAGTTCAATTTCAACTGTAATTCATCTGTAAAATCAAAATCAAAGAGCAAATCACATACTTCTAACATACTGTTATGCCCAAGTCACAAAGATCCCCAAAGACCACCAGGGAGACAGACCCACCAAACTGCAAAATCAAGGTTTATTGTTCATCCAACCATGACAGGGACCTCATCTAGTTAGCTGACACAGCAGCCATCAGAGGAAGTGAGTTCCCTGTCTCCTGGCAGGTTTTTAAAGGCAAAAATCACAGGATTACATCAGTAGGTACAGGTTGGTTTCTGATTGGTTGTTTCCAGGTTCTGGCTATTACAAATAATGCTGCAATGAACATAGTTTCACAGATGCCCTTGTATAAATGTGTATATGCCTAAGAGTGGAATTGATGGATCTTGTGGTAGACTGATTCCCATTTTCCTGAGAAAATGTGGTACATTTACACAATGGAGTACTATTCAGCCAGCAGAATAAAACAATGGAATCTTGAAATTCGCAGGCAAATGGATGGCACTAGAAGAAACCATCCTGAGTGAGGTAATCCAGTCACAAAAAGACAAACATCTTATTACTCACTCATATGTGGATTGTAGACATGGATCAGGGGATTGACAACCTACAATTAGCATGCCAGAGAGGCTGGGAAACAGTGAGGACCCTAAGAGAACATGCAGCATACCCTGGAGAAGGGGAAGGGGACATGATCTCCTGAGCAGATTGGGAGCATGGGGGGAGGGGAAAGGGAACTGGGAGAAGGAAAGGGGGGGAAGGAGAGGAGAGGAGAAAATGGGGGAGCAGGAAGGTTGAGTGGGATAGGGGCAAGCAGGATGAGAGATACTGTAATAGGTTTGAGGAGAGATATGGCGCTAGTGAGGTTTTCAGAGATCTACAAGGATGGCACCAACTGGTAATCTAAGCAATAGTGGCTACCTTAACTGCCCTTCCCTGATAATGAGATTGAGGACTACCTTGTGTGCCATCCTAGAACCTTCATCCAGTGGCTGATGGAAGCAGAGGCAGACACCCACAGCTAAACACTGGACTGAACTCCTGGAAACTAGTTGCAGAGAGGGAGGAGTAATGGGCAAGGGGATGAAGACCAGGCTGGTGAAGCCCACAGAAACAGCTGACCTGAACAAGGGGGAGCTCATGGACCCCAGACTGATGGCTTGGAGGCCAGCATGGGACTGACCCAGAGTCCCTGAATGTTCATGTCAATGAGGAGGCCTTGGCAATATATGGGGCCTTTGGTGGTAGATCAGTATTTATCCCTGGCTTACAAATAGACTTTGGGAACCCATTACACTTGGAGGAATGTGCTCTAGGCCTGAACGCATGGGGGAGGACCTGGGCCCTGCCAGGGATGATATGACCGACTTTGGGGATCCCCCATGGAGTGCCTCACCCTCCCTGGGAAGCAGAGGGAAGATGGGATGGGGGGCTGGTGAGGGGTGGAGGAGGAAGAGAGGGAGAGGGACCTGGGATTGACATATGAATCAGGCTTCTAATTTAAATTAAAAAAATTTTTAAAGTCTCCAGCTTATTTACATTGGGACATGTCCTCATGAGACTGCTGAGTTTATACCTGCAGGCATGTGATTTTTATAATCCTTGTGACAAAGCACTGAGACTACTATCTTTATTTGTTTTTGTTCTTTGAAGTGTCAAGTTAGAAAATATGAATAATAATAATATGTTAAGATGTGCTCACTCACATCCTGGTTTTTGAAACCATAGCCCAGATCAAGCCTGTTTCTGCGGGTGTTACCTCTGGGAACTGTTTCTGCAGTCTAAGTCATGAAAACTACTCTCTGAAAAGGACACAGGAAATACAATCACACATGAGGCAGACATTATCCATTATATATATTTTCATATAAGAGATAAAGACTGTTGCTTCTTTCTAGTCATTACCATTTAATGTGTATTTATTATGTGGGAGGGTCCTATAGATAAGACTGTCTGCTTTTTTATGCTGTATTGTCTCCAGATAAATTCAGCTTCAAATTGCTTTTCATACTGGCTCCTCTCTCCAGGTGCTTGATTAAAATCCTTGCAGAAAATTCTGTCCCCTTCTCTTTTTCTTAGTAGTGGTGAGCGTAGAGACTGATCATCACTGAAGATTTTGCCCACATTTATATTTTAAATAATCTTTTCATATTTTAATAGTGATTTTTTAATTTAGAAAACTGTGACTCATCCTGTGCCTAACCACAATCAACAGATCAAACATTTTCAGTTTTCATGTTCATTAATGCAGTAGGATAGAAAGTCTACAATAATCCTAATCTGTTCATTGCTGTCCATTTTGCAGATTCAAGAATGGCTTTGTTTAAATTGCCAGACGAACAGAGCAATATCAGGACAACTGGGAGATATGGGCAAAATGCTCCCTGTATCGTCAGGATCCAAGGCATCCCCTGTGCCTGCCCCTGCAGACCCATCATCTCAGAAAACACCCGTAGGGGGCCATGTGAAAGGCAAAAAGAAGGAAACAGAAGGAAAAACTGAAACTGAGAAATTTATTCCAGAAAAAGAAACAGCATCCATTGAGAAAACGCCCCCAGCGGTCGCCACAGGTGAAAAGCTGGACGAGACTAAATTAGAGAAAAGCAAAGTTTCAGCCCTGCAAGAAAAGAAACCACCCTCTGAAGAGGAACAGCCAGTCCCTGAAGAGAAAGTGGGAAAGAAGCCATCTGCTGAAGGAAAGTTGGCTTCAGCAGAAGACAAACCACCTCTGGAGGGAAAGAAGCCTATCCCCGACCACAAGAAATTACCCGCAGAAGTAAAGCCCCTGGCCTCAGAGCCGGAGAAGAAACGGGAAGCACTTCAAGCTCAAGTACAAATTCCTGAAGAGGAGCCCACAGGGAGAGTGGCCACTCAGGAAGACTGGCGTGCAGAGGCCAGGGCTGGAGCTCCCCCACGCAGCCACGCCCCGCAGACTTTGCCCAGGGAAGGCGGGAAGGAGAGCCACACAGAGAAGCAGCCCCAGGAGGAAGGCAGTGTGGAGCCTGACCAAGTGGAGCCCAGCAAAGGCAAAACAGTAAGTTGTGCTTCCTGCAGTCGCCTTTTGGCTTGTGCCCTTCCCTGGTTTACTTACAACCTCAGCCGATCACGGATAGGACAGATGTGAAACCTTTAGACCACAAACTACATTTCAGAGAACTCTGTTTTACTTTTTCTTAAATGAAAAGCAATGGCATTTTGATACCTCAGTCAAATTCCAGAAAGCTTAGAAATAAAATTCTCTAAATCATAGAGAAAAATGAAAAGATTTCCTAGAGCTCCAAGTAATTTTTTTAAGTCAGTTTTCTCTTTACCTAAAATAATATGTCATTAAGATAGTTGGTTTCGTGAGGGTCTAGGCCCTGTCCTGGATGAAATGACAGACTATGGACACCCCATGGAGGGCCTCACCCTCCTTGGGGAAATGAAGGGATATTGGGGGGCTTGGAGGGAGGGCACGGGAGGAGGGGAGGGAAACTGAGAGGGACCTGGGATTGACATGTGAAGCAACCTTGTTTCTAATTTAAATTTATATTTAAAAACAAAATAGTTGCTTTCGTAAAAGGCAGTTTGTTGTTTTTGTTGTTTTATTTTTCCTTTTGATAGATTTCTAAGTTGTTGTCAGCCACAAAATTGGTTAAAAAAAAAAAAAGAGGCATGGTCAAAATCCAGGATGAATATATATATATATATATATATATATTAATTCTACATTTTTCTCATAACGTAGGGTCATGTGCTTAATGTGGAAGAATTAGTTACAATCTTAATTTAGTATATAATAATACATAGTGTCCCTTTAGTGAGAAGCTTCAAGAATATCCCATTTTAAGTGGTATTTACATAAGCAATTCTATCGTTTTAAAGGAACTCTACTATTTCAAGGTATATTAATTTTAATGCTAATCTAGCTATATAATCCCCCCTTTCTACCCTCCCATCTGCTTTCTCTATCCCCCTTCAGCCCCCCTTACTCCCTTTTAAAGTGCTGCCTTCTTTTGATTTGACTTGTATTGTTATGTGTGTGTATGTGTGTACATAGGAATTTAGAGATCCACCAAATGGGTTATATCTAATTAAATAAGGTTAATTCACAGAGGACACAAATGGTACATAAAAATTACCTGTTGCACATCCATTAAAGTTCCAGAATTCCGGGTTGATGAGTTGAATAGGTTTGAGGAAGTGTGCTGTTTTGCGATCACTTGAACACAGCCTGCTAACCCATCTCCACTCCCTTTTTTCCTCATGACAGGCATCTTCTGTGGGTTCTACATTTGTCATCCCCAGGATTTTTTTTTGCCAGTCTCCAAATGTTTTTATTTTTCTCTTTTGACTTTTCCTTCTTTTCTATCCAAAGAAGGCACAAGTCTGACCCTTAAATTCACAGGAGCATATGTGTCTCTGTGGTTGTGTTTCAGAACTGCGTTTCATGTACTTTAGCAGATAGTTCCCTTTTAAACTTAACTGTAAATTCAATTTGTCAGTTGTTTCAGTGTTGTGTTGCTTATATTTTTTGTTGCCATACCATTCTTTTACTTTATTCAATTTTCCAAAATGTGTTTATTCGTTAAAAATAAAATGAATATATTATATTAAAATTAATATATATGAATATGATATATATTTGAAAGCATACCTCTTTAACTTTTCTGATTTTGTATTTCTAAATCACGTTACTATAAAATTCTGGCTTTTTACCTATTTATCCAAGCAGGAAACTTTTAATCTTTATTTTATGTGCTATACTGAAAAACTACCGTCTTCCAGATGGAAACTCAAATTGACATAGATTTTAATGTGGACTTTGGTTTCTGTTTAAAATAACTGAATGGTTAATATTCATGTTATCTGTCAACACAGAATACAATGCCTGAATTGTTTTTGTGACGGTATAGTCAGAGTGAAAAACAATCAAGTGTTCTGATGAAATATTTTATCTCTTTCTTGGGCTGAGTTATGTGGACTCAATCTTGATTGGAGTGCTTTAGTTACTCATATTTGCAGTCAATCTTAACACAAACTTTCTATAAATGATGAAAGATAACTCTGTGCTCTTTTATTTCATTAAAAATAAAGTCTAGAAAATTAGTCAAGCACGTACTGTTATCTGTCTTTCCACATTTTTAAATGAATCCTAGAACTCAGTTCTTGACGCATGTAATCTTCAGAAACTTTTGTTTTCCTTCAGTGTGGAGAGCTACTGACTTTAACTGTTGTGGAAAGAGCACAGACAAATTTAACAGAACACATGTATTTATGTGCATTTTCTCACGCTGGGTTCCCACAAAGTGCACCACCTTCAGAAGAGTTTCAAGTGTGCTAAAACATTACTGCCTTCTCTCTCACACATCTGCTGTCCAGTAAACGGTGATGGGACACTCACAGGAAGGGGACACTTCAATCCCTGCTGTTCGTTAGTACAGCACAAAACTTGGAGCTTAGCCCCTGAAATTTTGGGGTGATTATTTTAAAAAAACAGATTGGAAGAATTTGAGCAAATAAAATTCTATGCATGGAGAACATGAAATATAAGATAGGCCAGTGTGCTGGAATGTAATGCTAATCATTAAAAACAGAAGACCTTTTCTTTAGCAGAAATGAAGAGTAACATTGCTGTTTTAAAGCTGTGCTTACAATATTATAGTTCTCACACCTGGCTTATTCAAAGGTTACAAAGTTTGTATGCAAAAGGAAGCCATATGAAATTTTATTCTTATTTTTTAATTTCAGGGTTGTTATAAATGGTATTAAATGTAAAAAGTGAAACAGTTAACAAAAGTGTTCATTTCCTGATGATTCAAATGAATACATGTTTTGAAATCTGCAGTATTTTATACACTTTGTGTGTGTGTTGTATATCTTATACAAAAGTGTGCTTGTTACATTTATATCTTTTAATACCACTTCACTGAGTAGATTAATATATTTTTCTTTAAATATATACACTCTTAAAAATTTTTGAAGTGCCTGAGAAAAAGTTTCCAATATTTTAGTCTGGTGTCCTGAGAAATTGGTGAGAAAATGGTCCACATTATTTTGTCTTCACATGAATCATTTCACTGTATCTTAGTCTATGGTGCTTCAAACACCCATTTTGAAGTTCAAGCATTAGGGAAAACAAGATCCAGTTTATGTACTGTAATCTGCATCTAATTTCCCCTTGTTAGTAAGTGTTATTAATGAAGCAGTGTCAAGGACCAGTTAACTACAAGAAAGAAAAATGGTTGCCAAGTCCTGATATGTGGAAATCCTTTTAAAAATGATTAATAGCAGTAATAAAGATTAATTTGTAGGTGTCTTTAGTCGGTGAAGCAAAGGACCTGATTGATCATTGAGTGATCATGTTTCACAGCTAAACTATGCAGTTAATGAGGGCACATTGTTCTCTGAGGGGATGAATACCTAAATCTAGTTAGTGGGGAAAATTAACATAAAGTTTTTCAGTGTATCCTTTGAATCTTTCAGTGAGGTGCATTAGAAGCAACTAACATCAGCCACTCCTAACATATTGTCTTAGACCCGCAAGCCTATAGAATGAACACTTATAGACTTACTACCATGTAACACAGAATAGAGACAGCGCGCAGCAGCGTCCCCATCAAATGTGCTGATGGAACCCTGGGAAGCTTTCGGGACAGATACAGGACCAGACAGGATGATCTGGGAGAATGTAGCGCGGGGGGAACAAAGGAAGCATGGGCACAGAATAAAGCCATACACAGGCAGTTGTGGGGAGAATATTTTGATATTTTGTGTTAGAACTTCATGAATTCCTTTTGGTTTTCTTTGTTGCATTCCACACACACACACACACACACACACACACACACACACACACACACACACCGAGAGAGATTGACTTTTTTCTTTTAACAATATGAATTTCATCGCAAAGTAAATGTATTGATACAGGTAATGTATTTGAAGGAAAGTGAAATTAGAAAGTAAAGACGCCTCACAAAATAATGGAAAAAAATCAAGTAACATTGAGAATTAATGCATAATTTAAATTTTAGTTACCTAATCCAGTGAATACAAATTTTTCTCAATTTTGTTCTCATACAAACATTTTAAAACTGCCATTATATGCCAGGGGCAAGTGGCACACATCTTTAATCCAAGTAATCAGGAGACAGAGGCAGGCAGATCTCTGTGATTTAGAGGCCATTCTGGGCTACAGAGCACGCTCTAGGATGGGCTCCAGAGCTACAGAAAGATATCCTGTCTTGGAGAAAAAAAGGTCAAACCTGTCATCATATAGCTGAATTTTTCCATAGTTATTGCCCAACTATTAATGGTTATTTAATAATAATGGTGAAGCTATGCGATTAGTTTGCCTCTAATGCATTTGCCTGTGTCTTTCCCCTTCTGCTAGAAAAAGGAAGAGGATAAATCAGATACTCCCAGTTCTCAGCAGCCCAAGAGCCCACAAGGTCTGAGTGACACAGGATATTCTTTGGATGGAATATCAGGTTCTCTTGGTGAAATCCCAAGTCTTATACCAAGTGATGAAAAAGATTTGCTCAAAGGACTCTTTCTCTCAAGAAAGCAGCCCTTCCAGCCCCTCGGACTTGGCGAAACTGGAAAGCACAGTACTGTCCATTTTGGAAGCTCAGGCAAGCACCCTTAGTGAAAAATCAGAAATGAAAGCACAGCCCCAGAAGGTTTCTCCCGAGCAGCCTCAGGACCAGCAAAAGTCTCAGATTCCATCTGACGCGCTGGATATTACTATTTCAGAAGAAGAGGACAAAGAGAGCCAAGAAAGGAAAGAAAGCTCCAAAAGGGATAGCCAACAAGGCTTTCCTGCTAGGAAAGACCATAAAGAAAAGCCTGAGCTAGTTGATGATCTAAGTCCAAGAAGAGCATCCTATGACTCAGTGGAAGACAGCAGTGAGAGTGAAAACTCCCCTGTTGCCCGTAGGAAGCGGAGAACTAGTGTTGGCTCATCAAGCAGCGATGAGTACAAACAGGAGGACAGTCAAGGTTCTGGGGAAGAGGAGGACTTCATTCGAAAACAGATTATAGAAATGAGTGCTGACGAGGATGCCTCTGGCTCTGAGGATGATGAGTTCATTAGGAGTCAGCTTAAAGAGATTGGTGGCATGACTGACAGCCACAAGAGGGAAGAAACTAAAGGGAAACACAGACGGCTGACTCGCAAGAGTAGTGCTAACTTCGATGACGAGGCAGGCAGACGGCATTCCTGGCATGACGAGGACGATGAAACATATGATGAAAGCCCTGAACTCAAATTCCGAGAAACTAAAAGCCAGGAGAGCGAAGAACTTGTGGTGGCTGGAGGAGGGGGGTTACGCCGATTTAAGACGATCGAACTCAACAGTATGATAGCAGATAAGTACTCGGCAGAATCCTCTCAGAAAAAAGCAACTTTGTATTTTGATGAAGAGCCAGAGTTAGAAATGGAGAGCCTGACCGACTCACCTGAAGACAGATCTAGGGGAGAGGGGTCCTCTAGTCTCCATGCATCCAGCTTCACTCCCGGCACGTCCCCTACATCAGTGTCATCACTGGACGAGGACAGTGACAGTAGCCCAAGTCACAAAAAAGGGGAGAGCAAGCAGCAGCGCAAAGCCCGGCACAGGACACATGGCCCTCTCTTACCCACCATTGAAGACTCCTCAGAGGAGGACGAATTGAGAGAGGAAGAAGAATTGTTAAAGGAGCAAGAGAAACAGCGGGAGTTAGAGCAGCAGCAACGAAAGAGTTCTAGTAAGAAGTCAAAGAAAGACAAAGACGAACTTCGTGCTCAGAGAAGGAGAGAAAGACCAAAGACGCCACCCAGTAATCTCTCTCCCATCGAGGACGCATCTCCCACGGAAGAACTGCGCCAGGCAGCGGAAATGGAGGAGCTCCATAGGTCCTCTTGTTCCGAATACTCGCCTAGCATAGAATCAGACCCAGAAGGGTTTGAAATAAGCCCTGAGAAAATAATAGAAGTTCAAAAAGTTTATAAACTGCCCACGGCTGTGTCCTTGTACTCACCAACAGATGAGCAATCTGCTATGCAGAAGGAAGGGGTGCAGAAAGTTCTCAAAAGTGCTGAGGAGATGTAGGAAGAAATGATGCAGAAGAACCACAAATATAAAGCTTTTCCAGCTGTAAGTGAACGAGATGACGTGTTTGAAAAGGAGCCATTGTATGGTGGCATGTTAATAGAGGACTACATTTATGAATCTTTAGTAGAGGATACATACAATGGATCAGTAGATGGCAGTCTGATCCCAAGGCAAGAAGAACAAAATGGATTCATGCAGCAGAGAGGAAGAGAGCAAAAAATAAGACTCCCAGAACAGATTTATGATGATCCTATGCAGAAAATTACAGACCTCCAGAAAGAGTTTTATGAGTTAGAATGCTTACATTCTGTTGTGCCTCAAGAAGACATAGTTTCCAGCTCTTACATCATTCCTGAAAGCCACGAGATAGTGGATCTGGGAACCATGGTAACTTCTACCAGTGAAGAAAAGCAATTATTAGATGCTGACACTGCGTATGAAGAACTCATGAGGCGACAACAGATGCAGGTAACAGATGGGTCCAGTCCCACACAGACCACCGTAGGGGATGACATGGCAGATTCCATGATGGATTTTGACAGGGTGCAAGATACATCTTTGACATCAAGCATCCTTTCTGGAGCATCTCTTACGGACTCAACCAGCAGTGCAACTCTCTCTATCCCAGATGTTAAGATAACCCAACATTTTTCAGCAGAAGACCTCGAGGATGAATACGTAACTGATTATACAAGAGAAATTCAAGAGATAATAGCCCATGAGTCACTGATATTGACCTACTCTGAGCCTTCAGAAAGTGCTGCATCTGTCCCGCCTTCCGACACACCTTCTCTCATATCATATATTTCTTCAGTCTGCACCACAGACAGCTCCTCACCTGTCACTACCCTGGATAGCCTAACCACTGCTTATACAGAGCCAGCAGACATAATAACTAAATTTGAAGACTCCGAGGAAATTTCTTCATCAACTTATTTTCCAGGCAGCATCATTGACTATCCAGAAGACATAAGTATATCTTTAGATCGGACCACCACACCTGAAAGTAGAACTAATGCTGATCGTATCGTGGTTTCCTTCTCTAGTACAGCACCTTCTGTCGCAGAATTCGTAGGCGCTAAAGCTGACAGGCCACAAGCTGTTACCATGTCCACTGACTTACCTGAAAAAGATCCAATAAAAGGCAAGAAGGAAACTGGGGATGGAATTATTCTGGAAGTTTTGGATGCTTACACAGATAAAAGGGAAGAGTCTGAGGCTGAAATAACAAAAATTACCTTACCTGAAACTGGGTTGGTCCAAACACCTTCTTCTGTTATAGCCCCTCAGATGAAGGAAGAACCTGTAACTCCATATTCTCTGTCTGGAAAGATCTCTGGTCAGGAAAAGCCCACATATAGGTTACCATCAGCCAGTATTCCTGTTTCCACCCATCCATCTAAAGCTCGTCCATTTTTCAGAAGTTCTTCTTTGGATATATCAGCCCAACCGCCCCCTCCTCCTCCCCCACCCCCTCCTCCCCCTCCACCCCCTCTTCCTCCGCCTCCACCACCATTACCCCCAGCAACTTCACCTAAACCAGCCACTTACCCTAAAAAAACTTTGGCAGTTGCAGCTCCAGTGACTCCAACGGCAGTTGTCACAACCCATATTGATGCTATTACTACAGTAGAGGCCACAACTGCTCGGAAGAGTAATGGGTTACCTCCCATCAAAGTATGTGCCACTGCCCCTCCTCCTGTCCCTCCCAAGCCTTCTTCAATTCCAACTGGACTTGTATTTACACATAGGCCAGAACCAAGCAAACCTCCAATTGCCCCTAAGCCAGCAATTCCTCAGATTCCAGTGACTACACAGAAAATAACAGATGCATGCCCCAAACCAACAGGTCTATCTTTAACTTCAAGCATGTCCTTAAATTTAGTGACTTCAGCAGGTTACAAACTGCCTTCCCCTACCTCTCCACTTTCCCCACATTCTAATAAATCCTCACCAAGATATTCTAAGTCTCTAATGGAGACTTATGTGGTTATTACATTACCATCTGAGCCTGGGACTCCAACAGATTCTTCTGCTTCTCAAGCCATTACCAGTTGGCCCTTGGGATCACCCCCAAAAGATCTGGTTTCCCTTGAAACAGTGTTTTCTGTAGTTCCTCCTATGACAGCTCCAGAAATTCCAAGTTCTTCACAGCCTACCCTGTATGCACCAGGAACTTCGGAGACATTTTCTGCTGTACCTGTTGTAACACCATCTCTATTTCAAGGAGCTCTGACTTCACTTACACAGTTTCTTCCAACAGAAGCTTCAAAAACTGTGGTATCCACAACCAGAAGTGTAGTCCCAAGCATTGCTCCCAGAAGTGTTTCCATACCGATTCCTCCAGAACCTCTTGCTCTAGACAGGCATCAGTACAAGGAAAATGGAAAATTGCCACTTAGTGGTGATGCCATTGATTTGCGGACAATACCAAAGACAGAAGCTAAAGCAACTGAAAAATGTATGGACCTTTCTGCTTCTTCAGTGGATGCAAAAAGACAGCCCACAGCAAATGACGTTTATGGGCGACAGATCAGTGCTGTCCAACCTTCTATCGTGAATCTCAGTGCAGCTTCCTCTTTTGTAGCTCCAGTCACCCTAGACTCTGAGACAGTGGCTGTTGTCACATGCACAGGTACTACAATTTACACAACAGGCTCAGGAGGCCAAGTGAGTATAGAGCCTGCAATGGCATCACCACTCCAGCTCACTACATTAAAACATACCGAGTCACCGTACAGGATATCAAGTGGCCAGACATTCCCTTTGGTTAGAGATGAAGCACCGATAAACTTGTCTCTGGGTCCTTCAGCTCCGGCAGTGACACTGGCTGTTACGAAGCCTGTCACTGTACCTCCAGTCGGTGTCACCAATGGATGGACTGACAGCAGCACATCTCAGGGGATCACCGATGGGGAGGTGGTAGACCTCAGCACATCAAAGTCTCATAGAACAGTTGTGACAATGGATGAATCTACTTCAAATGTAGTGACCAAAATCATAGAAGACGATGAAAAACCTGTTGATTTGACTGCAGGAAGAAGAGCTGTGTGCTGTGACATGGTTTATAAGTTGCCTTTTGGAAGGAGCTGCACAGCACAGCAGCCAGCAACTACCCTTCCTGAAGACCGTTTTGGATATAGGGATGACCACTATCAATATGATAGATCAGGGCCATATGGTTACAGAGGGATTGGTGGAATGAAACCTTCCATGTCTGATACAAATTTAGCAGAAGCTGGACATTTTTTCTATAAAAGTAAGAATGCTTTTGATTACTCAGGAGGATCTGATGCAGCAGTAGATCTAACTTCAGGGAGAGTGACTACAGGTCAGTATGACATAGCAATAGACCCTGCCTTGAAATGCCATTATGGTATTGTGCATCTTGTTTCAGGGTGAAAAAGATATCCCTAGTCCGATTTTTTTATATTTTTGCTTTCTTTGGATGTTTTTGCAATATACTTTAGAGTACATGTGCATTTTTGTTTCTTGCTGTTGCCGTTGCCTGCATGTGCCTGCATGTTCAACATTGCTTTTCTTCCGCATCTAATTAGGTTAACCTGTGGATTTGCATGCAGTCCCATTCATTGAGCTCATCAAGATAAGAGGGCTTTCTGACCCAAACAGCATCATTCATTCTGAGAACTGGACTATAACTCTACCCTGTATTTCAGGCGAGGTAATGGATTATTCAAGCAAGACTACAGGTCCATATCCAGAAACACGCCAAGTCATTTCAGGAGTTGGGATTAGTACCCCACAGTATTCCACAGCAAGAATGACTCCACCTCCAGCACCCCAGTATGGTGTGGGAAGTGTTTTGAGGTCCTCTAATGGTGTTGTCTATTCTTCAGTAGCAACTCCAATCCCCTCTACATTTGCTATCACCACTCAACCTGGCTCCATTTTCAGTACCACGGTCAGGGATTTGTCTGTTATTCACACAACAGATGCACTGACTTCATTATCAGCCCTGCATCAAAGCCAGCCAATGCCTCGATCGTATTTCATAACACCAGGGGCATCAGAAACAGACATCTCAGTAACCAGTATTGACATCAATGCCGGTCTGCAAACTATTACTATGGAAACTCTTCCTGCTGAGACAATGGACTCTGTTCCTGCTTTAACCACAGCGTCTGAAGTGTTTTCTGAGGTGGTAGGAGAGGAAAGCACACTTTTAATGGTATCTGAGGAAGATAAACAGCAACAGCAGCTTGACTTGGAGCGAGAGCTCCTGGAACTGGAGAAAATTAAGCAACAACGCTTTGCCGAGGAGCTAGAGTGGGAACGTCAGGAGATTCAGAGATTCCGGGAACAAGAAAAGATCATGGTTCAAAAAAAGCTGGAGGAGCTGCAGTCTATGAAACAGCACCTCCTCTATCAGCAAGAAGAAGAACGGCAAGCCCAGTTTATGATGAGGCAGGAGACATTAGCTCAGCAACAGTTACAACTTGAACAAATCCAACAGCTGCAACAGCAGCTGCACCAGCAACTCGAGGAGCAAAAACTTCGCCAGATCTACCAGTATAACTATGACCCCTCTGGAACTGCTTCTCCACAAACTACCACCGAACAGGCAATTTTGGAGGGTCAATATGCTGCTCAAGAGGGCAGTCAGTTTTGGGCCGCTGAGGATGCCACCACTACAGCCTCTACTGTGGTGGCCATTGAAATACCACAGAGCCAAGGATGGTACACTGTTCAGTCTGATGGGGTGACTCAGTACATTGCCCCGCCTGGCATCTTGAGCACTGTTTCAGAGATACCTCTGACAGATGTTGTTGTAAAAGAGGAGAAACAACCCAAAAGAGGAGCTCTGGAGCCAAAGTTAGGGGGCAGTATGAAGAGATGGGGGAAAATATGGCAGATGATCCACGGAATTTGAAAAAGATAGTGGACAGTGGTGTACAAACCGATGATGAAGAAACTGCGGATAGGAGCTATGCAAGCAGGAGGAGAAAAACTAAAAAGAGCGTCGATACCAGTGTCCAAACCGATGATGAAGATCAGGACGAATGGGACGTGCCTTCTAGGTCAAGAAGGAAAGCACGTCCGGGGAAATACGGAGACAGCACCACAGAGGGTGACAAGACGAAACCCCTTTCCAAAGTCTCCAGTGTAGCAGTTCAGACAGTCGCAGAGATATCTGTGCAAACTGAGCCAGTGGGAACCATAAGAACACCTTCCGTACGAGCACGGGTGGATGCCAAGGTAGAAATAATTAAACACATTTCCGCACCTGAAAAGACTTACAAAGGGGGCAGTTTAGGATGTCAAACAGAAACAGATTCAGACACACAGAGCCCTCCATATCTGGGTGCCACCTCTCCACCCAAAGACAAGAAGCGCCCAACTCCTTTAGAGATCGGCTACTCGTCATCTCACCTTCGGGCAGACACCACAGTCCAGCTGGCTCCTTCCCCGCCCAAGTCTCCAAAAGTCCTTTACTCACCCATCTCACCACTCTCACCAGGCAAAGCATTAGAGTCAGCCTTTGTACCTTATGAAAAACCCCTCCCTGATGACATAAGTCCACAGAAAGTACTACATCCAGATATGGCTAACGTGCCCCCAGCAAGTCCTAAGACAGCCAAGATGATGCAGCGCTCTATGTCTGACCCCAAGCCGCTGAGTCCTACAGCAGACGAAAGTTCCAGGGCTCCTTTTCAGTATTCCTGAGGGCTTCACGGTAAGAGGGATTCTGTTCAGGTAGAAGACAATGGATGAGTTGATGTTGATCATGTGTTTGCAGACTTAGAAGGTAACAAGACTAACATGTAGAAAGTGAGGGACTGAAACTGAGGGAGGACTATCACATTAGGAGAGGAGGACCACATTCCCTTAAAGGTGCCCCCAAAGGAAGACTGTTATGTGAGACTGAAGTTTTATTCTAATATAAAAATATCTCTGAATTGTAGCCTTATTTCAGTGTATGTAACTAATATTCCTTTCCCCGCATGATGGTATAAATATTGACTATAAACAAGGATGAAGCATGAGCATGCCTTTAGATGAGGAGTACGAGAACTCATGATTGAAGTGCTCGTCAAATACATGTGGTCAGTCTCTTCTTCCAGCCAGAATACTGACCTTAAAGGCTTAGCATAGCTCATTGACCAAGATGTGGGCATACGAATGTATGGTGCATTAGGCAAGTTCATACATGCTTATTTTGTTTGTAGCAACTTTCTTACACTAAACCTCAGAGGAGCCACACCGCTAGTGCTTATAGAAGCATAGCTAATTTTTATGTTTCTTTCAATAGTAGAGATTGTTTTATGAAGTATAATTTTGCCTTAAGGGAAGAAACAGATAATATGTTAGACATATAGATGTAAATGGAAGTGGGAAGTGTTAATTAACCATAATTATATTATATATGACTTAAGTATCAGTTCAATTTTGAACAAGTCTTTTCTAAATAAAATTTTCCAAATAAAATAAAATATAATTTTCCTTGGTGCAGTAGTTTCTTAACTCTGGACTTTTAAACTCTGAAGCTTCTAAATACAGTAGTCTAAAATACCACTACTTCCATTGATCCCCATGTGTTAAACAGTGGCCATAGTCTATATAATATGATATAAATTTTAAAATATATGCTATTGCATTATTTTTTATCTGCATTCTTCTACATGATAGCATCCAGTTATGCCAGAACCATTTGTTGAAGATGCTTTCTTTTTTCCATTGTACAATTTTAGCTTCTTTGTCAAAAATCAGGTATTTGTAGGTGTGTGGGTTAATATCAGTGTGTTCAACTAGATTCCATTGGTCTACCTGTCTATTGCTGTGCCAATTCCAAGCTGTTTTCAGGACTATAGCTCTATAATAGAACTTGAAGTCAGGGATGGTGATGCCACCAGACCTTCCTTTGTTGTACAGGGTTGTTTTGGCTATCCTGGGTCTTTTGTTTTTCCACATAAAGGTGAGAATTTTTCTTTCAAGGTCTGAAGAATTGTGCTGGGATTTTGATGAGGATTGCATTGAATCTGTAGGTTGCTTTTGACAAGATTGTCTTTTTAATACCTTGATCCTACCTATCCAAGAGCATGGGAGATCGTTCCATTTTCTGGTTTCTTCTTTTGTTTCTCTCTTTAAAGACTCAAAGTTCTTGTGATACAGGTCTTCCACTTGTTTGGTTAGCGTTACCCCAAGGTGTTTTATGTTGTTTGTGGCAGTTGTAAAGGGTGATGTTTCTCTGATTTGTTTCTCAGTTCTTTTATCGTCTTATATAGTTGGGCTACTGATTTTTTTAGTTGATCTCGTGTCCTCCAACTTTGCTGAAGGTGTTTATCAGTTATAGGAGTTCCCTGGTAGTTTTTCAGGACACTTATGTAAACTATCTTATCATCTGCAAATAATGAAAGTTTCAATTCTTCCTTTCCAATTTGTATTCCCTTTATCTCCTTTTGTTGTCTTATTGCTCTAGCAAGAACTTCAAGTACAATAATGAAGAGGTATTGAGGGAGGGGACATCCTTGTCTTGTTCCTGATTTTAGAGGAATCACCTTGAGTTTCTGTCCATTTAGTTTGATGTTGGCTGTTGGTTTGCTGTATATTGCTTTTATTATGTTCAGGTATGTTCCTGTTATCCCTGATCTCTCCAAGACCTTTATCATGAAGGGGTGTTGGATTTTGTCAAAGGCTTTTTCAGCATCTAGTGAGATTATCATGTGGTTTTTCTTTTTCAGATTGTTTATGTGATTGATTACATTGATGGATTTTTGTATGTTGAACCATCCCTGCATCCCTGGAATGAAGCTTACTTGATCATGTTGGATGATTTTTCTGATGTGTTCTTAGGTCCGATTTGCCAGTATCTTATTAAGTAGTTTTGCATCAATGTTCATGAGGGATATTGGGCTGAAGTTCTCTTTCTTAGTTGTGTCTTGGTTGGTTTGGGTATCAATGTTATTGAAGCCTCATAAAAAGAGTTTGGCAATGACTCTTCTGCTTCTATTGCATTGACTACTTTGAGGAGAACTGGTATTAGCTGTTCTTTGAATTTCTGGTAGAATTCTGCACTGAGGCCATCTGGACCTGGGTTTTATTTCATTGGGAGATATATGTTAAAATACATTATAAAATATATTCCTAAGACTGTTTGTAGTTACAAAGACAAGATATTTATAATCATACTAATTACAATTTCACATCTAAATTTCACATATTTATGGAGAAATTTCATTATATTCTGTATTTCTTTCTTAAAGAGTATTCTGAAGTAAATACTATAAATCCAAGTAAAACTGTCTTCATGTGGTGTAGAGGACAAAACCATAGTCAGATAGGTACTTGTGCATTGAGATTGCATTCCGTTTTCAGTCACTTCAGAATACCTTTGCTTCTGGAATCTGTTAAATCTGTTGTGAAAGTGATATTTAAATAATTTTAGTGTTAATTTATTTTATTGATATGGTATATAAATTCAGATAAATAATAAAGTGGGAAAACATTATGTTTTGAACTTTTAAATTAGCTCCAGTCATCAGAGAGAGTAACTTTGCCAGTTGATGCATTGGTCATCTACTAATATTGTGACTTTAAACTTTTAATTCAGTTATGGCAGAGAATCAAGCCATCAAGATTTTTCCTTACATTGTTCCCTTTGCATTTGCAAATGTACAAGGACGAATATAAGAGGTAACATGGGTATATTAGGTAAAATTACCAAATAATAGCTAAGTCTAGCCATTCCTTGGAGCACAATTCCAACTTCTTCTAGTTAGTCAAATTCTTCATATACCAAATATGACATAATTGCATGCATAATATTGATATTGATATTGGTTTTGGTAGGACCCATCATAACAAGCACAAGGTAAGTTTTATAGTATATAAAAGTCTGAAACAGCATCTCCTGCTTCCAGTAGATCAGGAAAGCTTTCAAGGAGGAGACTCTAGGACATGAAGGTTGAGTTTTCTGCTGGATCATGAAGAGAAAGATGAAGGTCATTCCAATAGATGACAAAAAATATTCAAGTATTCAGGTTAATAACCAGATATCCAGCGAAAAGGGGACAAAGAAGAAGGTTATATTCAGTAAAACTGTAGTGGTGAGTGAGGGGTCAATGGCAAGAAATCTTATGTACCAGAAATCCTTTTTCTGTGAGAAGCTACATCAAGGTCACCATTATTTTATATTCAGCCTCTGAACTCCTTTTCTAAGGATCAAGTACAGTAGTTTCTGATTAAAATATATTTCAGCAAATCTATTACTTACTCCACAATTTAAATTCACTACTAGGATCTTAAAATGTTCACTCAATAATAGGAATTTATTTTTAATTGAAGATTATTTTTTCATGCAATATGTTATTATGATCATGGTTTTCCCTCCTTTACCTCTTCTCAGATCTCCTCCACGTCCCCACCCATGCAACTCCATTCCTTCTCCCTCTCTTTTTAGAAAAAAAAGCAGGCAGAAAAGAACAGAGTAAGAAAAAGCATGAGAAACACATAAAAACAGAGACACACACACAAAGAAAATAAAATATATAAAAACATACGATAACAGAATATATGAGCAAAAGACTAGTAAGGTAAGAACTTTCTAAACAAAGCAGTATGAGACTGAAACAATTCTCCAAAGGTAATGTTGAGTCTATCTACTGTTGGGCATGGGCCCTGCCGCTAATTATGGTTTATATACCCAGCGAGGCTCCATTGTTTCTTTGCAAACAGTTATCAGTTGGAGGTAGTTTCTTGGCTAAAGATGAGAGCCTGTGTCCCCTTCTACTCTCAGCATTGTGAGCCCATGTAGTTTAGGCCTGGGGTGACCCCGTGCATGTTGCCACAGTCCCTACCAGTTCATATGTGCATCAATCCTGTTGTGTCTGAAAGACACTATCCTTGGTGTCTTCTGTCCCCTCGGGCTTTACAATCTTTCTACCTCATCTTCTGCAGTTCCTTGTGGCCTGACGAGAGATATTTGATAGAGACATCTCATTTAGGAGTGAGTTTTCCAAAGTCTCCCACTATCTGCACATTTTTCCAGTTGTGGGTCTCTGTGTTACTTCCAATCTACTGCAAAAGGAAGTTTCTCTGATGATGATTGAATGAGACACCCATTTATTTATAGGTGTAGGGGAATGTTGTTTCAAATCATTTTATTGCTGTGTTCCTTTAGTACAACAATAGTAATTGTTTCCCCATCGACCAGCCTATCTAGTATCAGGTGTTTTAACATATTAGTTATCGGTTTCATCTCATGGAGTAGATCTTAAGTTTGTATGTTATGCAGTTTATCCTGCAGGAAAGTCATCAATATAGACTTGAGGATTTTAGCTGGGCTGGAGGTCACCATTCTCTTCTTGAGGTGTGCAAAGCACCTTCCATCATTATGAGCATTTAGCAATAGGGGTGAAGAAGGCCCTAGGGAGACTCCATGATCTAGGAGATGCGTAAGTATTGTCTTCAGCATTAGGGCCTTCTTGTAAGTTTGTGGAGTGCAAGCAATAGCATTGGCAATAACCTTAGTAATTTAGGAGTTTCAAGGGGCTCCTTTGGCCAAAACCTCAATCAAATGAAACTAATTCCTGCCCCTGGAGGTGTAGGTTGTGGCTACAGATATCTAGTAGCAGCCATGTCTCCCCGTTCATTTGGTGAACTACTTCATTTATATTTTAATTTTGTATTTAAGGAGCTTCCATTGTAGGTAGGTGTCAATATGACCCCTCAAAAATGGTCTTTATTATTAGATTCCCTTTCCATAGTCCTTCCCTGTCTTAGTCACTGTTCTATTGCTATGAAGAGACATCATGACCAAGGCAAACTTTATGAAAGAAAGCATTTAATTGGAGGCTTCCTTACAGATTTACAGGGTTAGCCCATGGTTGTCATAGCAGGAAACAGACTTGCATGACACTGTAATAGTAGCTGAGAGCTTTACATCCTGAGCCACAGGCCCTGACATGGGTGTTTGAACAATCAAAGCTCACTACTAGTAACCCACATCCTCCAACAAGGCCATACCTCCTAATACTTCCCAACCTATTCTGCCAATGGAGATCAAGCATTTAAATGCAAGAGCCTATGGGGCCATTCTCCTTCAAACCACTACATTCCCTTACCCTTGACTTCCCTCCCCATCTCCCCTTAGGTTCTCGTGTTCTAGTAATTCTAGTACAACCCCATCTTTATAACTCAATATCTATTTCCTCTTCATTAGGAGAGACCCCCCACCCAGTCTGCCAGTCCCTATTCTATACCTAACGTCTGTGGTTATATGGATTATATAGAATGTCTATTGAAGGCCTAAAAACTTATATCCACATAAAAGAGAATGCATACAACTTTTGTTTTGCGGAGTCTGGTTTACCTCCCTCAGGATGACTTGTTCTAACTCCACACATCTAACTCTGAATTTCATAAAC